TTTGGCCAAGACCAGGAAAGCTCCAACTGCTTCCTTAGACTGGTGACAGTGCTGTCCTGGGGCTCAGACAGTCATCCTGCAGCCGGGCACAGCCTGATATGGCTGGGAAGCGGCTGGCTGACTCAGATCAGAGGCAATTAGGAGTACCAGGCCTCTTTAATTAACCAGCCAGCCCCTTTCCCTTTTCACTACAGCCAGGGAAATGAGGCCAGGCAGCCGGTGTGAGTGTGTGCAAAGGCCCAATTACAGAGGACCACAGCTCTAGGACTGCAGTGCCTTCCACCTGCACATTCATTAGCTTATGGCTGATGGACACTGTCAGGGATCTTGCTGGAGAGACATTGGTGTCCCCAGGAGCACCTGAGGATTTGTACCCCGCTCCCACAGGTCTGGCTTAGATACTTCCAGTGCTAAGGATCTTTCCAGCATCTTTTCTCTTCAGCCTCCCCAAGTGCACACACCTTTTCATCTTGGGAGACTCACTTCCCCACACAGCTCTCCAGGTTGCTAAGTCCTGGGAACCTAGGTCCCTACAGTAGCAGGTGTCACTCTAGAGAATATTACTCCTCCACCTTGACAGACAAGACCTGAGGGAAGAAGCCCTCCTATTCTAGATTCCCTTCACCCCCAAGAGAGAGACAGGCTGTGCCCAGATGTCGCATGCATGAGCCACTGGCACCTACACACTTATGGGGGTCCCTGCCAGCTGACACCAATACTGAGAACTGCAAAGGTGTTGAAGTCCTTAATTTAGTTTCATAAATCTTGGAAAACAAGAGACTAGTGATGGCAGCAGCTTCACTATGAAGCTCAAGAAGGTACCAATGCATCTAGGCATGGTGGTAACCAGCTGGAATCTCAGCATTCCAAAGGCAGAGGCAGAACTGCTGAGTTGGAGGCCACAATGGGCTAGATATTGAGACTCTATCTTAGAAAGAGAGAGAAAGAGAGAGAGAGAGAGAGAGAGAGAGAGAGAGAGAGAGAGAGAGAACAAGAGAAAAACAAGACTAAACCAGAAACCATAGCATGAATTCTAATAAGGAAAATATAGGGTACAATACACTAAATTGGGTCCCTCAAAATTCCAGTGTTGAACTCCAAGTCCCATTGTGACTATATTGGGAGAAAGGGACAGTGAAGAATTAAGATTAAATGGGATCCTTAGTGTGAGGCCATACCTAATAGGATTAATGTCTGTAGAGGAAGAAACATCAGGGCTCCTGCCTGGTGCTGTATGAGGAAGAAGCCATCCATCTAGCAGGCCAGGAAGATGTTGAATTGCCTTGGACTTCCTAGTCACCCAAACCACAGGGAAATAAAGGTCTGTTAAGGTTCCTACCCCCAGCTGGCTGATCTATGCATCACTCTGTGTCTCCTGTGATCATGAAGGTCAGAGGTGGCAAACATCTGAGCAGGGAGCCCCTAGGGTGGCCCAGTCACAATGACAGTGACAGGGTCCCCCTGCCTTTGCTAGAAGTTAGTGCTGGCCAGGCTATGAAGGGCTTCCTTGCACCAGCTAACCCATCCCTCACATCCATCTGGTGCTGATGGCTGCTTTTTGACCTTGTCTTACAGATAAAGAAATGAAGGCCTAGAGAGATCAAGTGAGTTTTACCAGACCACTCCACAGAAGCAAGCTGGGAATGTAGCCCAAGCTGGCCCTATAGCTCTGGGTGCCTCTGTTCCTGCTTCGAGGAAGAGAGAAGCACCCCCCAATTTGTGGCCACAGGCAGTCAGAGTTCCAGAATTTCCCAGGACTGATGTGGAACAGCATACTGGCCATTCTGAGACATGGCAGGGCCAAGCAGCCTCTCACTTTGGCATCCTACAGGCTGGGTCTCTTCATTAGGGACCCCCACTACAACCTCTAATTCCTCCCCATCTGTTTAGTATACACAGAAGACACTGATGCTCTGTTAGCATAGGGCCTCCATCCCCGTGATGCCTTCACTCCTCCAATGGTAGCCATCACCACCAAGTTTGCCTCCAGCTTGCACGCTGTGTCTCCCAACAGTCTATTTGGCCTACAACTAGAGCCATCCCTTAAAAAAAAAAACACAGTAGGGGCTGAAGAGGTGGTTCAGTGGGTAAGAGCACTGGCTGCTCTTCCACAGGGCCAGGGTTCAAGTCCCAGCAACTACATGGTGACTCACAACTGCAACTCCAGCTCCAGGGGATCTGCTGCCCTCTTCTGGCCGATGCAGGCACTGCACTCATAGAGTGCACAGACATACACAGAAAAGGCAAAACACCACAGGCCACAAAACACAACCATAAAACAGACTATATCCTGTACCTTCTCAGTACTTCATGCCATGCTCAGTCTCCATGGCATCCGCCTAAACACAAAATGGAACTCCAGCTCCTGACCTGGAGTTAAGAGGCTCTGTGGAGCCTGGCCTGAGCTCATCCCTGGCTCTCTCTGTTCCAGATACTTTTGTTAGTTCTTAAAGCCCAACTGGTTCTACCTCAGAGTCTTTGTGCCTACAGTTCTCTCTGCACAGAACATATTTCCACCCAGATCCTCCCCCAGGCTGATCCTTGCTTGTATCCAGGCTCAGTTCAGAGAGGCCTCCCTTCACAGACAAAGACACGTCACTGTCTCCACTCTGGACAAAGTGATAAGTCTTCCTGGCATCATTTTATGTTTTCTCATTTAAAATTTGTTTGTTGTCTCATTTCTGCTATCCCTGAAATACAGCTTCAATGAGAGCAAGGGTTTTTGTTGTCTATCCCTTGCAACCAGCCTGCACACGGTGGACCTTCTATTTAAAGAACGGCAGGTAGGGTGTGGTAGTGTATGCCTTTAATCCCAGCACTCAGAAGGCAGAGGCAGATGGATCTCTGTGTGCTGGAAGCCACCCTGGTCTATAGAGCAAGTTCCAGGACAGCCAAGGCTATACAGAGACACCCTGTCTAGAAAAACCAGAAAAACACAAGTGTGCTTACCTATGACTGGGTAACAGTCTTCCTAAGGACACATAAATCAATCAATCAATCCTCCCAACCCCCCAAAACCCTCACCTAAATAGTCCTCCCACCTTTGCCCGAACAAGTTTCTGCTGGGCCAGCACTCAGTCTTCTTTCCACTGGCCTAGAAAGAACACATCAGAGAAATGTACTTCAACCAGCAACCAGCCCAGCCCCAGGGCACTGGGCAGTGGGGGAGGCAAGTCTGGGAGAACATCTCCCCCACAGCCCTCACCCAGATGAGGCCTTTCCCCTGGGCCAGTCAGTTGCCTAGGCAATGGCTCTCTGAGGAGCAGCTGGAATTAACTCTTTGATAACCAGGGCCAGCAGCTCGCTCTGTGGCAGAGGGACCTTCCCGTGGGAGGAGCTGCGGCACAGCCTTTCGTGGTCCCACAAACCTGAACTCTTTAGAGTAGCTGTGAGCTGGAGAGACAGGAGGAGCAAACAGGCTGCTGGGGCCACAGAGGCAGAAAGTAGAAGTCACAAAACATCAGCCACCTGCCCCTTTCCTGGGAGCAAAGCATCCCCAGGTTCCTATACCCACCATCTAGGTAGGCTCTAGTTCTGGCCTGAAAGAGGAACCAGCAGACCCTACAGGTCCCCTTTGCCCTCTGCTGTGCTTGAATGATCACTTCATAGCCTTTAGAGTAGAATTACCTCATGCGATAGAATGGAGAAAAGACTGTGTCTCAGATCCTGGCTTTCCTGCTTATTCATCTTGGTTAATGTTTAGCTTTGGAATGCTTCAGACGATGCCCTTGCCAAGGCTGCAAAAGTCTAATGTTTCAAGTCCACATCTGTTGCTCTGACATGTCCACCTCTGTAGTCCTCAGTGCGGCTCACCCACCCCACCCGGAGGCTTATAGCCTCTGTTATTTCTTCCCAGAATTGGTAAATCTCTGAAACCATCTTGGTTGATTATAGCTTGTCATCTCCTGTTATCTTAAGAGAGAAGGTTCTTTTCTTTCTGTCTTGTTCACTTTAAGAACTCCAAGCTTGGGGCTGGAGAGGTGGCTTGGCAGTTAAGAGCATGGTCTGTGCTTCCAGAGGAAACCAGGTTCAATTTCCAGTACCCACACGGCAGTTCACAACTATCTGTAAGTTCCAGGGGATCCAACACCCTCACACAGACATATATGCAGAGAAAACACCAATGTACATAAAATAAAATTTAAAAAAGAACTTAAAACAACAGACATTGGAAGCTACCTGAGGACATGTTCCAGCAAAACTAGAGTGAAATCGAAAAAGATGTTGAGGGTAACAGTGTCTCTGACCACGGGAGGCAGCGAAGGGGGGCTGTGTGCTGATCACTGCATAGCACAGTCATGGCTGGAAGTGGAATAATCTAGAAGAGTTTCTACGAGGAAGAAAAGTAATACCACAGGTTCCATACGATGAGTAAAACAGAGATCCTAAATAAATCAGACCTTGCAAGGTGCATTATTCTCCGGGAAATAGTAAACTAAAGTCAACTGGTAAGGTCTTGGGCTCATCATGAAATGCTTTAACACGTGGCACAGATTAGTATAAGAAAAGACAAAAATCCATTTGGTCTTGTGAAGGCCATTCTCTCTGGCATCAAGAGAGTAGACGGAACAGAGCACACAGCACAGGCCTAGCACACTGCTCCGTCCTCAGGAAGCAGTGCTTGCCTAATGTTTACCGAGTGCCTATGTGCTGGATAGGGCTTTATGAGCCTGGTACTTAATGTATCTGAGTACGTGTAATACCTACTCCTATTTTTCAGATCGAGAAAATGAGGCATAGGATACTAGGCCAGTTTCCCGATGTCATATGGTTGGTGTAAGAGCTGGATTCACACCCAGGCTCTCATCTCCTTGCCAGGGCTAGCTCTAGAAGCCACACCATCCAATCTTCAGGGCCTTCTTGCCAAAAAGCAAATGATATCACCACACACATAAATGTACACATGCACACACTGTCCTGGCAACGGGGGTGCAAAGCCACAGGATGGCAAAGCTGACCCGTTCTGGGGAGCTGAGTGGCGAGGCCAGAGCAGGGCTTACCTTCCTGCAGTCTTTGCAGAATACGGAGGAGCTGCCCAGGAACCCCAACACCTCCCCGCAGAGCAGACACTGGGAGAGGCCATTGCCCATCACGTTCCTCTGCATCGTCTCCAGCCGCTCCACCAGTCGCCTGCAAGCAAAGGACACAGCATCAGAGGGAAGGTGCGTCCTCTCAACATGAGGACTGCGTGGGCATAGTTGCTATGGGACTCTAAGTGCTCATGCTCACCTCACCTGGCCCCTTCTGGCTAACTCCCAGTCACTCGTTAACTTGCTGTTAACTGAGCAGCTAGGTGTGCTAGACACTGGGAATATTGTAACAAACAGGCCGGATACACACATGGTCCAGGTTCTCTTAGAATTTAGGTTCAACAAAGGGGAAAAAAAGCGAGGTAGGTGGAGGCCTGGGAAGACACTTTGAAGACATGCCACAGGGTGCTGAGAAATGTCCCAGAAGCCAGAGAGGGGCAGGTGGATAAGGCAAATCCCAGGGATTTGCAGGTCACAGGCTGGAGTCTCATTTCAATCTGGAGTCAGTGAAGACTTTGAAGGTGATTTGATCTAAGAGCTGTTTTTCTAAGCGCCTGTGAAAATCTGGAATAACGAGGAGAGGGGAAAAAAGGAAGCCAGGCAGAGGTGGGACCCTCTCTCCAAAGAAGGTGGGAGGCCTCCGAGCTGCATCCCAGAGGACAGTGTTGAAAGCCTGGTAGGCTTTGGGTCAGAGAGCATCTTGGCTGGTGAGCAGCTGGCAGCAGGAGAGAAAAATCAACTCTTCTTTGACACTGCTGGATGGATGCTGAGCACCCAGGAGCCCAGCTGAGCTTGCACAGGTGCCCTGTGATCCTGGGATCGATAGCCCTTGCCACTGTAGACACCCACCTCCTGCTGTGTAACAAACTGTTTGGTTTGTCAGCCACTCTATTTCTGGTACCCAGTGGATGTTCAGTAAGAACTCTTGACTGGATGAAGAGTAGCATGTGGCCACATCAATCCCTCCTATGGTCACCCCCACCCTAGGGGAAGGAAGCCACATTTCCTGTTTTAGAGAGGACTGGGGCTGGGGAAACAGGAAGTAGCTTGCTGAGGGATGGAGCTCCCAAGAAGTAGAGACAGGGTCCCCACTTCTAAATTTGCCTGGTAGAGGGTTCCCTGCCCCCAGGTCCACACTTTCCTGAGGTGACTGGTTGTTGCTAAGGGGGACACGGGATGGTTAGCTCATCAGTGAAGCCACTTCCTCCTGCATGCTCTGAGGTGAACACTTCTGTTTTCCACACACTTGGGGGCAAACCCACGTCTAGCCTGGCGTGGCTCAGTTGCTCTTGGGAACTCTCTGTCAATCCATGTCGTGTTTGCATGCATCATGAAGAGGACACACTTCCTTCATGTGAACAATTCATCTGTAGTACTGCTTCTGGGTCCTTTCTACACCCTGCTGCTTAGGAATCAGGGTGTCATCAGACCACAGAAGGGACTTCCTGAGGCAGCACTGTGACAGCAGCCTACTGGCTGAGGGTGTCCAAACGCACTTCCACAGCACAGAGCAGCCAGTATGAGGCTCCTGTAACACACTCCCTGCTCATCATCCTGAGGTGGGGGGGGTGGGGCCCTGGAAGTGTCAGGGGTGTGTGTTGGGGGGATGCAGATCATCAGTGTTCAAGGTTAGCCCAGAAAGGTTAGCCCAGAACCTGGCCAGGTCCTTGGGGAGGAGATCTGTAAGAAGCCAGGCTAGGTGGTTAAAGAAAAAGAGAATCCCAGCCATTCTGCCACAAGCCCTGTTTGTACTGACACGATAATGACCTGTCTGTATGATTGAGGCTCATACAAGAGGCCGTTGGCGCAGCAGTCATCTTTCTAGTGGAGCTGTTGCCTCCTAAAGCTGCCTTTCTACTATGTCTGACTTTTAAAAATGATCATGGAACTAATGGGAAAAGATGAGCAGAAAAATAACGAGATCGGAACGAGTTCCTGCCCAAAGCAGCCGAGCCCGGCACAATCACGCTCCCCTGTCTGAGCTCTTCCAAACCAATGGACAACAATAAAAAGGCATACCAACGTGTTGGCTGGCTGAGCCCTGGATGTGAGAGGCCAGGAGAGAGCTGAAAACATGGGAAGGCACCTCCTGCTGGGACCTCTGGTGTGGCCATTCACTGACCAACCTCCCCTAGGGTCCATTCCTTGCCCAAAGGGCAGGAGGGTACTCAGAGCCCAAATCCGAAGCTCCTGGGCTCATCCCCGCACTTGTGTCTGGGTCTTGAATCAACGCAGTCCCCAGCTCACAGCTGCCTACATCCCAGGGGGAACCTGATGAGAAGCTGGGGCCTCCTGACTCTTGCAGACTGTCCCTGCCCACCCCCTGTGGCCTCCCTGCTCAGTGCCCTGGCTCACCCGATCCTCTGCTGCTCCAGGATGTCCAGCCGCTCTGCTCTCTGGATGACCTGAAGGATGACCTCCAGCTCTCCAGGGCTCAGGCACTGGCTCCTCCTCTGCTTCTCCGTCTGGTACGTGTGCACAGACCAGCCCGTCTGCAGCCTTGGGAAAGAATGGTATGGCTGGAGGTGAGGCTGCCCACTACGGCAGTAACCCAGTGTACCCACAAAGCCCTCATGAGAGTGGTGTAGGTACAGCCTGAACACTGTGGTCCAGAGTCCATAATGAACATTTCCATATGGTCTAGATGTGTACCCTTCACTGAGTGTCATTGCTAGAGGACAGTGTGGGACATACTGTTTTCCTGTCTAGAAGGAAACTCTTCAAGGGCCAGGCCCTACCCTGTCTGGTCCTCTCTTGGCCTTTTACACTGTGTACCTTTCACACTCTGCACTAAAGCCATACCAGCCTTTTGTTTGGCCTCTCTGTATGCCATGTTCTTTCTACCCCAGGGCCTTTGCATGTGCTGTTTTGTATGCTTGGAACTTTCCCCATATTTCCATGTAACATTTACCTCTCTGGGTCAAGAGAAGCATCATGCTTAAAAGGAAGTCTTGGTCCTAGACCTGGTTAGTACCTCCCCACACACTGCCAATCACCATCATCCAAAGAACTCACATCTTTAAATATCCAGACAACTTTCACCTCCCCCAACCTCTGCTTTAACATGAAGAACCCGCTGAGTTTAGGAACGTCCAGAGGCACCTGGGTGCCTGGAAGGAAGACCGTGGGTTGGAGAACTCTTCAGGTTTCCTAGGGGTCCACTGGACTCGGCATCCAGCTCTGCAGCGTGCATCTGTCTCTCAGACACACACCTGGGAGGAGACACTCACACCAGCTGAGGCCATGGCAGCTTCAGCACTGGTGAGTGAGAGCTGAAGCTGGGAATGAAGGGGGAGCTGGAGATCTCCCAGCAATGCGCCCTGCATGGACAGCACCTCATTGGCCTAGCGTCAGAGACGGTGAGAGGGGCCAACCTCATCTCTAGTCACTCTCCCTCCCTGCAGGGGTGGCTTGAGGGGGAGGGGCTGAGGCACCCAGACGAAGGGGAGCAAAGGTGCTCACACATCACGAGTGCCGCCATTCCTCCTGAGCGTTTCAGATGAATTTTTCTACCCGCCTTCGATGTCTTAGCTCTGTCTCCCACAGGCTCATAATGTCTAATTGCGAATTTCTTTAGCTTGGTCCCAGTTGGGAAACGCTAACTCCTGGTACCGACACAATCTGACAGCTGCAGGGATGTTCCTGACCAGGGACAGCACACACCAGAGAGCTGAAACAGACTAGGAGGCACGAGGGGCATCTGAGAGGCTCAGCTACAGGTACACTCTGTGTGTGTGTGTGTGTGTGTGTGTGTGTGTGTGTGTGTGTGTGTGAGTGTGTGTGGTGTGTGTGTGTGTGGTATGTGTGTGTGTGTGTTGTGTGTGTGTGTGTGGTATGTGTGTGTGTGTGGTGTGTGTGTGGTGTGTGTGTGGTGTGTGTGTGTGGTGTGTGTGTGTGGTGTGTGTGTGGTGTGTGTGTGGTGTGTGTGGTGTGTGTGTATGGTGTGTGTGTGTGTGGTGTGTGTGTGGCATGTGTGTGTGTGGTGTGTGTGGTGTGTGTGTGTGGTGTGTGTGTGTGTGGTGTGTGTGTGTGTGGTGTGTGTGTGTGTGGTGTGTGTGTGTGGTGTGTGGTGTGTGTGTGTGAGTGCATGTGGCCCAACCAAAACTGAAGGGTCACTAGGATGAGGGTTAATAGGAAAATGAAGACCTCCAAAAAGACACAAGGGAACCAAAGAGGGACAGGCCTTGTTCCCTGTGGGTTGTTGTGTGGAAGAGCACAGGTGTGGGAGTCAGCTGGACTCGGGTGTAGGTCCCAACCCAGCCATTGACAAGGGACATGTGCAAGGAGTGTAGGCCTCACTTTTCTTATCTGAGAAATGGGGATAAGTTAGTTCTACATAGTGAACAATAAATAAACACGGGCCAAGAGTGGTGTGCATTTGACAGCCACCTCTCTCCAAACTTCTCCCTGGGGAACAAAGTTTGCAAAAGACTGGGAAGAGGGCAGTAGGTGGAGAGGGAAGGGCAACTCTAGCAGGCCACAAAGGTACTTACTTGGCTCTCAGAGCAAGCTGGCGATCATTAGGGCAAACCCACTGATCATTTCCACTGCTGAAGATGGTGTCAGCCATGACGGGGAGCACAGCCCAGGGCAGGAGTCACATCTGAAGCAAGAGGAAAAGGGGAGCACATGTCAGTGACTGGGGTGCTGATGGTAGTCCTGATTCCTGCTGACCACTGATGCTACATTCCTCACTCCTCCAGCAAAAGCCTCACTCAGAGGTTCTTCCCCAAAGGCTGGGGATCTTGGGACGGGAGGCTAGGTGCACCATATCACTAAGTGACCAGAGTAGACATGACGTCAGAGGGTGAGAATCAGAAGGGAGAGAAAACACCCTCTCAGCAACTTTCAACTTAGCTGGCAAGCCCTGCAGAGCATCCAACGTCTGCCCTTTCCTACACAGCCCCATTGCCCTGAGAACACCTGAGAGCCAGCCCCATGAGGAGAGAGTAAGACACTGAGGCAAGCTCATGAGCCTCCTCAATCTACTCTACCTCCATTGGACCAGAATGGCAGCTCACAGGCCTGTGCTCTGCTCCCTAAGAGATCCCCACAGTGTTCTCCAGAGGGTAAGGCACAGGGTGGCAGCCGGCACCTCCACTAGGGCAGTTTTAAAAGTCATAATTTACAAGGGCTGTCCTTGAAAATCCTGCAGGAAGGGGCTTTCTTTAGAACCTGATGGCTCAACATAAGTAGTGTAGTTTAGCTGCCTTTCTGTGTGTTACTGAGCAGAGGGCTAACTCAGGCTGCCTAATACAAAGATGCTGCTTGTGCCTTCTAAACAGTGTGTGTGTGTGTGTGTGTGTGTGTGTGTGTGCGTGTGTGCGTGCGCGCGCGTGTGTCAGGGAGAGGGGATGGGAAGCTGATGATATGGTTCAGTGGTTAAAGCACTGGATGCTCTTCCAAAGGACTCAGGTTTGATTTCTAGCATCCCCAAGATGGTTTACAGACACCTGTAATTCTAGTCCCCGGGGGATCTCTTCTGGCCTCCATAGGCACTGCTGCATACATGCACACAGATCCACACAAGCAAACACACATATACATAAAAATAATTTTTAAAAAACACTGAGGCTGGAAATTTGTTCGGCTATTTCCTCAAAATGTTAACTACAGACTCACCACATATCCCAGAAACTCAATTGTCCTAGGTATCAACCACAGAGGACTGAAAACATATATCTTCCCAGACATGTGTACAAATGTTCGTAAGTCACTGTTACTCCTAACGGCCCCTAAAGCAAGGACACCTGAGAAAAGTGCAACTGTCCATGCAAAGGAAGATCTCAGACCTTCTCTAACATGGCAGGACCTTGAAAACATTACACTAAGTGAAAAAAAAAACTAGGCTTGTACAAGAGATCACATACTACATGACACTTTTATAGAAATGTCCAGAATGGGCCAAACTATAGAGACAGATTATCGCCCATTAACTGGCACAGGAGGACAGTGACAGCTAATGGCTTTAGAGGTTTTTTTTTTTATGAACTGATGGAAATATTCTGGAATTAGATAGGTGATGGTAACAATATGTGGGTTTCAGCTCATTAGTTATTATAAAAATATCTTGGGGCTGGTGAGATGGCTCAGTGGTTAAGAGCACTGACTGCTCTTCCAGAGGTCATGAGTTCAAATCCCAGCAACCACATGGTGGCTAACAACCATCTGTAATGATATCTGATGCCCTCTTGTGGGGTGTCTGAAGACAGCTACAGTGTACTTACATATAATAAATAAATAAAAAAAAATATCTTTTGGTGTTGACAAGACTGTTTGGTGGGTAAAGTGCTTGCTCTGCAAGCCTACAATGACCTGAGTTCAATTCCAAGACCTGCATAAAAGTGGATGAAGAGAACCAACTCCAGAGTTGCCCTCCAACTGCATCTGTGCCATAGGACTGCTGCCTGACACACACAGTGAGAAAGTCAATTGTGAACATTGCAAAATACATGAGCTACAGCTATTGATATTTTGCTGGGAAATCTAAGACCTTCCATTACAGATACTAAGCCTGTTAGGTATTCATATAATTTATATTTTTTATGAGACAAGCACGTGTTTTCAAAAACAAAGACAATGTGAGGCCCGATTGTTTTTATATTTTTGCAATTAACTTTGCTTTGGAAATTAACTGAAGACAGCTGGGCGTTCTTGTCTGACTTTTCTTTCGACCTTTGGAGATGCTGTTCCAGTGAAGTACATGGAAGGGGTCCAGGTTCTCACGGATGTGTAGGATGGATGGAAGGCGGGGGAGTATTCTAATAGCTTTCCCAGATAATGGTGTGTGTTTTTCTGCACCAAAACTCAACAGATGGCACTTTCTTAAAAACTAGTTCCAGCACAGCTTCTGAAGCCACATCTGAGTGCTTTCCAGTTTCCATGTTTGTGAAAGAGGCCGAGAGTCTTAGGGTGAGGAAAATAGTTTTGATTTTGGGGAATCTCTGAAAAGTGCTGGAGACCCTCAGGCATCCCTGAACCATACTTAAGAGAACTCTTCCAGACCAATGTAGCCCATGCTCATGATGACCACCAGGGGGCAGCGTGTGGGCCAGAGCAAACTGGCCATGCAGTATAAGCCAAGACCTCCCTGTCATCTCACGGGTCCATCCAGGGAGCCAAGCTTCCCATCTGGGCTTGGGATTCCACCATGGTCCACACTTTGGTAAAGAATCCTTAATCAGGCAGGTGCAGAGGCTCTGTTGGCAAGCCAGGAACCTCTGTACCATCTCCCAAATGGCGTTAATATAGTCCTCAAAAAATAGGCTGATGCAAAACTGACTAGCTCAAGGATAAAGACATGGCTCATTGCATAAAGGTGCCTATGGCCAGGCCTGATGGTCTGAGTTTGATTCCCAGGACCCATGTGGTGGAAGAAAAGAACCAACCCCTTCAGGTTGTCCTGACCTTACACGTGTGCCCCAGCATGTGCTGCTCCCCCAAATAAGTCAATCAAATGCAAAAATAAGAGAGCCATGTCCATAAAAATGTAAGCTTGTGCCCTGTGTCCAGCCTCTAGTGTACTGTGGGCTTGTTTTTGTTTCGGTTTCTGTTAGCTTGTGAACAGCGTGCTCACACTGCTACGAGTGTGAAATGTGTTACTCTGCCCAAAGTAAATATTTAAAACATGCAACTCATATGCTCTTTTTCCTTTCTAACATTCTGGGAGTGTCAAGAAATGGAAGGGCTATATGATCCAGGTAGACAGGTTCTACACAGGTTGCCCAGCTCTGCTCCTGACCTGAGGGGGCGCTGTGCCCAGCCCAATGTGTTCAGGGTGGCAACCCTGACAACTCAGTTCCTCTATGGCTGGACACAGAAGGGAGGTGGCCTCTGTGCTCCACTAGCCACTCTACAGAAGCAGAGGAGTAATTGGGGTGACCCTGGAAGACAGGAACAAGCCAGGGAATCTTGAGGCTCTGCACTTATCTTCTGTAGAGGCTTCCAAACTGAAGGCTGTGATAGGCTGAGCTGGGAGGATAAGCAGGGGAAAGGGGGAAGGACCTAGGCATTGAAGCCTTACCTCCATGATGGCAGAGAATGAAAGGGATCCAGGAGAAGACGGAGATGCTCCTCAGAGCTTCAAACCAGCCCACCCCCAAATCATCTGTAAGAATGAATGTACTGCCTCCCTCCATGTCACTTTCTAATGCCACAGTTTTAGACCACAAGCCAGGGAGCCCTTAGGCTGACGTCATCTGTCCTCTGACCTCTGGATGTCTGCACAGTCTGGGCTATTCTGTTCTGACCTTCCTAATGGAATCATTACTCTTTCTAATAGAAGATGAGAAGATGGGTTAAGAGGCTATGAAAGGACCACACCGCTACCTGTGCTGGTGTGCCAGAGCTCAGGTGGTACAGCTTCCCCTGCCTCCTATCGCTTTCCACCTAAGCACAGAGAGCAGCCTTTGAGGCAGTGGAAAAGGTTAGGGCAAAAGGACCTCAGAAGGAAAAAACAAAACAAAACACCAAAACCCAAAACCAATGGATGTGTGTGCAAATTTACTAAGTGTCCAGGACAAGTCAATATTCTCCCTGGGGCTCCATTTTGCCACTTGTACCCGAGGGACAGATGGCCTGTATGATTCTCTGCATGCCCGGTACCCGATTCCCACTGCTGAGATGCACAGAGGAAGTTCTGACAGGGCTGCAGGCAGAGCCTGGGAGAGAAGCTAGGGGTTTCTCCAGTCTACAGCATGAGGAGACGGGAGCCTCAGCAGGACAGACATCTACAGTCAAATAAAATACTAGGGGGAGATCAAGAGAGAGGGAGGGCTGTCATTTCCAGGGCTTGGAGTCATGGCACTGACTGGGCAGGGAGATTTGGATGGTAAATCCACAGCTAAGCACCCACAAAGGTGCTCGGAATGAAGGTCAGAGCCAAGAACATGGGGCCTACTGCTCCCACCCTCGGCTGTGGCTGGCACCTCTGAAAGCACAGCTGTCCATCCTCACACAGAACAGCCTCAGGACAGATGGGGGACAGTGAAGAGGCCCATTTTAGGAACCTGCCATAGAGCCAGCTTGGGTTTGCCAAACCTCTTTGAGCTGAGCTAGCACCCAGCTCCTTGACTTGGTGGCTGGTTAGAGCCTCACCATACCACTCCAACCCCCTCTATCTAAGTGTCCCTCAGCGAAACTGTATATATACCACCCAACATGCCTGCCTGGGTCCCCACTGAGGGAGAACTACAGCTCACACATTCTAAAGAGTTCAAGACCAGCCTGAGCTACATTAGAAAGACCCTGTCTCAAATACATACACACACCACACACAGATACATACAAACCACACCACACATACACACACACTACAACAGACATACACACACATATGGACACACATTCACATACACATACACACCACACATAAACACACATACCACACAAACACATACACACACCACACAAACACACACAGAGAAACACACTACATCACACACACACACATAGACACATAGACACCACATCACACATACACAGACACTGATAGACATACACACACACATGCATACACACATGCACACACACATGGAATTGGGGCATCACGGCTCCCATCAACAGTACTGTGTGTGTGTTAAATGTGTGCCTTGCCTATTTGTT